GAAATATCCCAAACAGAATACGTAAGACAGCTTCAAAGTTCGAAAAAAAAATTAAATGCTGGCCGTCGTATAGTTCACGTTCTCTCGAATATGCGGAATGTGGCTGTTTCACGTTGTTGTTTTATGACCTTTTGTAAACAACGGCAAAAAAATGAACAATGAATTATAACGCACGCTTACACAGCCATTGTACTCCTTGCCGTTGCGTTAAAGTTCAGCTTAATTTAAACTCCCTAAAACCGAATAAACCGCAAAATAATGAACAGCCAAACGAGCACAAAACAAAGGAAAGCCCGGCCGAACAAAAAGGCGGCTGAGAGTGCAGAAAACATTTCTGGTATGAAACGAAACCAAAACATATGAAATGACGTTCCCGCCATTTCGTCTCAGGTAGTTTCGAGAAAAAAGTCGCTTCGGCTGCCACGCATTGCGCGAGTAACATCCTCGGAAGAACTGGGTACCGTGTCTAAAAATAAGTAAGAGGGATTACTTTGGGTAGAAGGCCTCTATAGGGGATACACTCTCTTACCTTGATAATCTATTGTTAATATCAATAATTATGTTCATTTAAAGATTAACACTTTCCTGCTCGGTAAGTGAAAGAAAAGGCAAAATTTTAAGTTCGGTATTGGGACAAGAAAGATAAAATGTTCATCATGTCACCATCGAACGTGAAACAAAGAAAAATGTCGAGTATCCGAGGATAGTTGAACCGAAGAGCTCCCAAACACTGGGCAGGTGTTCTATTCAGTGTGCCATGAAAATACTCATCATAAGGAAGGCAGTTTACTAGGTTCATAGGCGACTTTCGTGCTTCTTAGTGCTAGGATCAGCAATTTCTACAGCATACCGTATTGTGATAAATGAAGAAAGATGGAACATTTTATCCTTGGTGGTGAAATGAGAAAGATGTACTGTCCATTATGTCACAAGCGTGGGAAAAGAAAAAAGTTCTGTTTTAAATAAAATATTCTGAAAGTGCAGCTGCCGCGGTCCGTTCTTTTAGCAAACGCGGTTTTACAAGGCCATAGACATACACATTATGTTTTTAAAAGCAGTTCTTTCCATCAGGCTAGGTAGGTCTTCTAAAGATAAGTGAAATGCTTTCCTTGTTTTTGACTGGAGTTCGTTCACCTAATGTGGCACCCTTTATTTCCACAGTAGTACCTCCAGAGATTACTGTACGAGGACGTTTGGCTTTGGAAGCCTACAAAAGGGCCCTTGCTGAAGGAAAGACTTGTGACAAAAGAGTGCCAGTCATGTTGATTGGCCAGGACAGATCAGGAAAGACCAGCTTAAAGAAGTCACTCAGGGGAGAGCCTTTCAACCCAGATGAAGAGAGCACTGTAGGGATAGATGTTGATCCTTCTCATTTCAAAGTGTCAACTGAGATTTGGAAGATAGGGGAGAAGGATCAAGAAAGAAATTCGGAGACGTCTATTTCCTATGAGTATCATGCAGCACGAGCAACTGTTGAAAAGTTGAAGGAGGAACAAATGGCTCCCAGTCCTAAGGAGAGGGTTCCAGAGACCAAACAGTCTGGAAACATCCCTATGGTGGACAAAGTCCCAGCAAGTCCAACCGGTTCTACAGTAAGACAAAACGACAGATCTGATGAGATGTCAAACGATCCAGAATCTGCTCAGGCATCCAGATATCCTGTACAAGATGACAGCATAATGCCAGACGTCACAAAAGATACAGGTAACCAAGGCGACAGATCTGATGAGACTTCCAACGATCCAGAGTCTGTTCAGGCCTTCAGATATCCTGAACAAGATGACAGCATACCAAAAGATATAGAAACCGAGATTACAAAGAGACTGGAAAATGACAGTAAAGTGGAAGACGAAGAAGCTGTACATTCCGTTTTGTGGGATTTTGCTGGACAATCAGTTTACTATACGACACACCCACTTTTTCTCACTCCAAGAGCGATCTATCTTCTGGTGAATGACCTCAGCCAAAATCCCAGTGAAAAGGCGAAACCTGTTGTGAAGCAAGGAATGTACAAGGAATTACTAGACAGTTTTGGTTTGAAAACTAACTTTG